GCTCCGTCCCGGCTTTGTAGGGATGCGAGGTCAATGGTCTAACGACTACGGCATGCACGACTATGAGTACCCCCCCCCCCCGGTCACACCAAACCTTTAACAGTCCAACTCGGCCCTACGGCACGATGCATTTTGTGGCCTACAGGTGGACTATTCGGACCCGGGAGCTCTCTCGCTGGCTGATATTCGCGGTGGCGGCGGTGTTTCCGCGGCCGGCGTCGCCGCTTCCGCCCCCGGTTCCGCCTCCACCGCCGCGTCGAAACCCTCGCCCGCGGGCAAGGAGAAGACGAAGGCCGAGAAGAAGACAGTGGAGAAGGGAAGGCCGAAAAAGGCTGCTCAGGGGGCTGCCGGCTCTTCGGCAACCGCCGCCGCCGCTGCCGCTGGGAAGAAGAGGAAGGCGTCCTCCTCCGCCTCCGGCAAAGCTTCCTCCTCACCGTCGCCATCCTCACGGGCTAGGAAATCGGACTCACCGGCAGCGGCGGCATCGAAGAAGGACACCAAGAAGAGCGGCAAGGCTGCTGCTACCGCTGACAAGAAGACGAAGAAGCCACCGGCGGCGGCGGCGGGTACGAAGGACGGTGGCGGTGGTGGCGATACCAGCCGCGGAGAGGGCGCAAAAGCAGAAGCAGCAACAACAACTGCAACAGAGTCGACGACGAGATCGAGAACCGTGTCCAGCCTGGAAGGTCCGGTGATGGCAGCACCCCAAGCCTCCTCCTCCTCCTCCTCTTCCTCCTCTTCCTCCCCTTCCTCCTCCTCTTCCTCCTCCCCGGCGGCAACGAAGGGCAAGGGCAAGGGGAAGGTGACGCAGCAGAGGGGAGAGAGAGCAGCGTCGCCTGCGACCAAGACGGCTACGGCGGCGGCACGCGGGACGAACGGCAAGCGAAGGTCTGCTACTACCGCTAGCAGCGGTAAGGCCGCCTCTAGCCCGTCCGGCGACGAAGTCGACGGGCGGGAAGAGGATCAGGAGGAACAAGATGACGTGCCAACCCCTCCCCAGTACACCAACAAGGCGGCGGCGGCGGCGGGGGCCGGGGCTAAGCGCGGCGCGTCTTCCTTCTCTGCTGCTTCCGGGAAGGCAACTCCCGGGAAGACGCCGTCCTCGAAGAGGAGACGGCCGACGAAAAGCCCGTCGACCCCAGCCAGCGCCGTCGCGGGCGAGTCTTGTTCGTTGGTACTTTAGGAATGGTGAACGGTGCTGGTGGTTGTGCTGGTGGAGGTGCTGGTGGTTGTGCTGGTGGTTGAAAGCGGTGCCGGCGGTACATACAATAGATGCGCGGCGTTTTTTTTTTCGATTGTGCTCCTACTGCTGTCCGGTGGCGGTGTACCGTAGGTTGCTGAAGATACCACACCCTCCTGAATCGATTTTTCAAAGCGTGATCACTCGACGAGACAGTTTCGACGCACGCCGCCATTTTCAGGCACCGTTTTCGCTCTTCCTGTGCATACCGAGCAATCGAGCTTTGAAAATCGGTCCAGGGGGTGTGATATCTTGTGGAACTAACTGTATTTGTTGTGTCAACGATCGGAACCTCCGTTGACGGCGGACTCAAGCCTGGCCATCATGGGTAAGATGGGTTTCAACAAACGCATGACCGGTGTCCTTTCTCGGCGGAACCAAATAATGGCGAAATAGCCGACTCTAGTGACTGGTGCGGTCATTTCTGCCCCCGCCCACGTTCCCATCATCTTCGCCGCTTTACTTGGTTCTGAGTCTCCCCACTCGCTCTGTTGGGGTTACATGCTGATGACGATTACGACGACCACTCCTGTGTGGTTCCATAAGTGTATACCCCGCCTTCCTCTGTATGAATTCCACCGCCCCCGTATGTGCGCGCTCACGACTTGTAACTTGAAGTACGCTGCTCCCTTGTTCCCTGCGCTTGTTTTTCGCAGCGGTGCGCCCCTCGCGCGCGCGCAGCACCCCCGCGACCGCTACCGCCTCTGCTATGTCCCCGGTTACCCCGCACGCCACCGAAGCCCAAGAAACCTTCCTCTCCGAGCTGGAAGGCTTGCTCGGCGCCGCGGGGGCAACAGCAGCAACAGTCGGCGGCGGCGGGGCAGGGGGTTCCGCGGATGGAGGCGGGGCGGCGGCGGGGACGGGGGTGGAGAGCGACGCGGAGTACTGGAAGGGCATGTACGACGAGCTGGCGAGCTTGAGGCACACCATGCCCGAAGAGCAGCTGGCCCTGTTCAAGGAGCACGCGGCGGAGCGGGATCGTACGTCCGCCAGCTATATCGAGCAGCTCAGGTGCGTGCCCGGATTTTCTTGTCTGTCCACTTGTAGCGTAAAAAGCGTGCGGCATTCCGTACGCGTATGCCTGCAACAGCGGTGCAAGTGCGTGGTGATCCTGAAGAGATGTTTTGTGCCCGCCAGGAGGTACCGGCACCGCAACGGGCACACATTTAGAGAACGCGCCAGCCTCTTGTGCTTCGTATTATGAACTCCATCCGCGTCGCGTGATTTGCACCAGTGGCAAGGCACTATCTATGTCTATCGGTCCCCGGGAACTGTTCAACCGCCGGCACTGCTGCCGAGGGAACCCCGCTGCTGTTGTGCAGGCCAGACGTACTTAGATACGATCTGGGAAGCAAAATCGATAACAACACGCTAGCAAGAAAAATAACCGGCGCCGGGATTAATTGCTACAACGCACACACATACACACACCGGCCCATGCTATTCATTCGTCTAACCAAGTACCCACCGCCCCCCCAGCCCACGCGACGTCCTCTCTAGGACGCGTGGTCAATGTTCTAACCGCTAACAATCACGAGTACCCCCCCCCCCCCCCCCCCCC